ATGAAGTATGAAACTATTGAATAGAATTAACAAAGTTCACTTATTAAACATAAAATATGCTTTTATTTTATCAGTTAAAGAATATTCAAATTTCTAAATGAACTTAAATATTTCTAGTTAACTACTTATTAGATGGTATAAAGCAAGTATTTAAGAATTAATATCAAACTATTTTCCCACTAATAGAGCAAAAAATACACAAATTTTATAAAAAACTTCAATTACTTTAGGTTGCAATATAAAATCCCACTTTGAAATCAATTATGAATTAAGAAGACATAATCAATATGTATAACAAATTGAAGTGAAAATATGACAAATTAAAATTTGTTAAATACAAATAAAGTATTAGAAATTTGTAGACATTAGAAAAGAGAAAGATTTCTAACAACAAGAAAACTGAAATGAATTTATGTGGTCAGATTATTAATACAGGATAATTTAGGAAAATTAATACATATAATATCACAGAATTTTGGTAATTTAACCTACTTAACATCTTAGGAACACTGAAGTTAAGCTAAATAGGACATTTTCTATACACCCATCTTTCAAAAATCAAACAGTGAAATCTCAGAAAACTCAATAAAATTAACAACTAATCTGCACATAATGGTCATGTAAGTAGCAAGAAGCCATAAAAACATGGATATTTTTATTAATAATCATATTACTTTTCACATTATTTATTCACTTTATATCCTGATTGCTTCTATAAGACTCCCTCCCCAAACTTCACTCAATGTTTGGCTGTGAGTCTCTGCATTTGTTTCAATCAGAAGCTGACTGGATCCTCTCAGAGGACAGTTACGCTAGACTCCTTTTTACAAGCATAACAGAGTATCATTAATAGTGTCAGGGATTGGTGCTTGCTCATGGGATGGGTCTCTAGTTAGTCCAGTTATTGGTTGTCCATTTCCTCAGTCTCTGCTCTATCTTTGTCCCTGTGTTTCCTGTTGTTGACTGAAAATATTTTGAGTAGAAAGTTTTGTGGGTGGGTTGGTGTTCAGACAAACTGAATCCAAGAACACATCAAAACCATCATTCACCACAATCAATTAGGTTTCATCCCAGGGATGCAAGGTTAGTCCAATATATGAAAATCCATTAATGTAATCTACTTTGTAAACAAACTCAAAGGAATAAAATCACATGATCATCTACTTAGATGCTGAAAAGGCATCAACAAAATACAACACTCTTTCATATTAAAAGTATTGGAGATATCAGGAATTCAAGGCCCATAGCTAAACATAATAAAAGCAATTTACAGGAAACCAACAGCCAATATTAACTTAAATGGAGAGATACTTGAAACAATCCACTAAAATTAAGGACAAGACAGGGGTGCCCACTTTCTCCATATCTATTTAACATAGTACTAGAAGATCTAGCTAGAGCGATAAGACAACAAAAGGAGATCAAGGGGATACAAATTGGCAAAGAAGAAGTCAAGGTATCACTGTTTGCAGATGATATGATAGTACACATAAGCAACCCCAAAAATTCTACCAGAGAACTTCTACAGCTGATAAACAGCTTTAGCAAAGTGGCTAGATATAAAATTATCTCAAATAAATTAGTAGTCTTCCTTTATACAAATGATCATTGGGCTGAGAAAGAAATTGGGGAAACAACACCCTTCACAATAATCACAAATAATATAAAATATCTTGGGGTAACTCTAAGCTAAACAAGTTAAAGATCTGTATGACAAGAACTTCAAAACTCTCAAGAAAGAAATCGAAGAAGATCTCAGAAAATGGAGAAATCTCCCATGCTCATGGATTGGCAGAATTAACATAGTAAAGATGGCCATCCTAGCAAAAGCAATCTACAGATTTAATGCAATCCCCATCAAAATTCCAACAGAATTTTTCAAAGACATAGAAAGAGTAATTCTCAAATTTATTTGAAACAGTAACAAACCCAGAAGAGCGAAAATAATTCTTAACAATAAAAGAACTGCTGGAGGAATCACCATTCCTGACCTTAAGCTATACTACAGGTGAATAGTGACTAAAAACTGGATGATATTGGTACAGAGACAGTCATGTTGATCAATGGAATAGAATAGACGACTCAGAAAAAAAAAACCCACACACTTATGGACACTTGATCTTTGACAAAGAATCCAAAAAATATACAATGGAAAAAGAAAGCATCTTCAATAAATTGTGTTGGTATAACTGGCAATCTGTATGTAGAAAAATGAAAATAGGTCCATATTTGTCATTTTGCACAAAGCTCAAGTACAAGTGGATCAAGGACATCCACATAAATCCAGGTACATTGAATCTAATAGAAGAGAAAGTGGGAAAGAGCTCAAACTCATTAGCACAAGGGGGAAATATCCTAAACAGAACTCCAATGGCTCAGGCTCTAAGATTAAGACTTGATAAATGGATCCTCATCAAACTGGAAAACAAAGGCACAGGACATAGACAATAGGACAAATTGACAACCTACAGATTGGGAAAAGCTCGTCACTAACCCCACATCCAATAGAGGGCTAATATCCAAAATATATAAAGAACTCTAGAAACTAACTACCAAGAAACCAAACAACCCAATCAAAAAATGGGGTACAGAATATTCACTAAACAGAGGAATCTTGAATGGATGAGAAGCACTTAAAGAAATGTTCAAAGTCTTTAGGAAAATGCAAATCAAAATGGCCCTGAGATTCTACCTTACACCAATCAGTATGGCTAAGTTGACAGCACATATTGTCAAGGATGTGGATAAAGAGGAGCACTCCTCCATTGTTGGTGGGATTGCAAACTGGTAAAACCACTCTGGAAATCAATCTGGAGGTTTCTCAGAAAATTGGAAATAGATCTATCTGAAGACCTGGCTATACCACTCTTGGGCATATACCCAAAAGATACCTCACAATGCCACAGGGGCACATGCTCCACTGTGTTTATAGCAGCCTTATTTGTGATAGCCAGAAGTTGGAAACAACCCAGATGTCCCATGACAGAATAATGAATACAGAAAATGTGGTCCATTTACACAATGGAATACTATTCAGCTATTAAGAATGAGGACATAATGAGTTTTGTGGTCAAATGGATGGAACTAGTGAAATAACATGCCAAGTGAGGTAACTCAGACCCAAAAAGATATGCCGTGTTCATGTATTGGGGGAGGGAGAACAGAACTGAAGTCCTATGGGCCAGCACAAATAATCAAAACAGGCAACCTTGGAAGGTAGGAATAGGGGGCAGGGGGCTCTAGAATACACCAAAGACCTGGGAGGTGAGAGAATCTCAAAACTCAAAGGGAGGGACCATAGATAAAATGCCCTACAGTGCGGAGAGGGAACTTGTAGAACCTGCCTCCAGCAGAAAGACTGCATCAAGTGAGGGATCAAGTTGCCATCCCACAACCAAATACTCTGACTCATAATTATTCCTGTCTGATAGAACTGCAGGGACAAAAATGAAGAAGAGCCTGAGAAAAAGGAGGTCCAGTGGCAGGCTCAAATTGAGATCCAGCTCAGGAGGAGGCCCTAAGGCCTGACACTATTACTGATGCTATGGTGAGCTTAAAAACAGGGGCCTATCATGACTGTCCTATGAAAGGCCCAACAAGCAGCTGAAAGAGCCACATGCAGGCATTTATACCCAACCAATGGACAGAAGCTGTTGACACCTGTGGTTGAATTAGGGAAAATCTGGAGGGGTATGGCGACCCCATAGGAAGACTAGCAGTCTCAAATAACCTGGACCCCTGACAACTCTCATATACTGAGTCACCAACCAGGCAGAATACACCAGCTGATATGAGGCCCCCAACACATATACAGCAGAGGATTGACAGGTCTGGACTCAGTCAGAGAAGATACACCTAACCCTGGAGAGATTTAGGATCCCAGGGAGTGGGGAGGTCTAGTGGGGTGGGAATGTGGTGAGGATATTCTCTTGGAGCCAGTGGGGCAGGGGAAAGGAGTTAGTTATTGGATGTGGAACTGTAGAAGAGTGGACCAGGAAGGGCATAACATCTAGACTCTAAAAAAAGTTTAAAGATATAAATGATAGATAGATAGATAGATAGATAGATAGATAGATAGATAGATAGATAGATAGATAGATAGATGATAGACTAGTTTATCTATATAAAACTTCAATACTAGTAAGACATAAGGCAGATGATTGTCTCTTGACAAAACCATAGTAACTTGTAACATAAAAATTATTGCTTTAAACATGAAGATGTTGGATGTTGTCAAAAGATTTTTCAGCATCTAATGAGATGATTATGCATTTTTTTTCTTTCAAGTTTGTTTATCTTGCATTGGCTTTTGGTGATTGTATTCTTGTGCTTACTGTCAGCCATCTGATTGTCTCTGGTTTGGGCTGGCTTGGTATTTCCTGGTAGTAGCAGGTTTCTGGGACTGTAAGAAGAGCTGGTTACTCCTTGTTGTCCAGGGTAGTGGCATACCTCCTAGGAGGCAGGCAGAGCTGTGGCCCAGGGAGTATAGTCCAGATCCAGGACTGTAGGTAGAGGTGTGGACCTGAACGTGGAGGACAGAAAGGATCTGGCAGACCTCTCAGCTGCTGAGCTTGCTGGGGAACCAGAAGGCCAGATTGTTATTTTAAGTATCATGACTCACATATTTAAATCAATCAGAATTGTTTATATAATGCCAATTCTAATGATTACACATAGGAAGACAAATAACATGTGCTTGCCTTATATACAAGACTGAATGTGGTAGCTCACACCTATAATCTTAACACTTGGGGGGTTGAAGCAGGAAAGTTGATATGAGTTCAAGGTCTCCATGAAAATAAAAATAAAAAGTAAAAACCAATTTTACAAAACACTACTGATTTCAGCTTTTAAAATAGCTGAATAGACCTTATGAAATTAAGCTGCCTGAAATTAATTAAGCAGCTAGAAATTCTGGCCAAAATATATTAAAACAAAACTGAAACTGCCTAGAAGTGCTTTCTAACATCCACTTAAATGAAAGTATAAAAAACATAACAACTGTCCCTAAGTGTTGCAGATGTGGATGCTATGTCACATGTGTGTCAGTAGGTGGCAGAGAAGAGAAAGGCTGTGTGTATGCTCAGTGTTCTGACCTATGAACATCTAGATGATTACTGAACTAAAATTTCCTGAAAAAGTGAGCCTGAGAGGACTACCAGTACTATGCCAGGACACTTGGATAGGGAGTTAGCCTGAGAGAACCACTAGTCTGGTGTTGTGCAGGCTCTGATGACTCCCAGGACCAGGACGGAGAAGTAAGCCAGAGACTTGAAAAAAATCCCACCTGGGACTGAGTGCCCCCAAGCAGGAGTGAGGCTGCGACAGACAACCCTCACAAAAGGCCACTCAGGCAAGCCTGTGTGAGAAGTGAGTCTGAGGGGACCACCAGACAAGCACCATAAGGCAGCTAGCCTAATGATCACAATTCAAGCACTGTGCATCCCTAGGACAGAGGAGGGGAGATCATGTTTAAGACCACCCCAGTCCATAGCACACAAGCAAAGCATAGTGCTCCTGAAACCACTCTTTGACAACCCCAGAGACCCCAGGTACCACTAAGAGGAGTAAGTAAGTAGTAGGAAATGGAAAATGAAGACAAAAAAAAAAGATACAGGCACAATGAAGAGAGTCAAAACTGGAGACTTGAGGATAGTGAGGAACAGCCTGATGTGAGTAACTGGTGATGCCACCTGGGACCATGATGAGTTCCTGGCTTGTGCTGGCACCAGGGACCATGTCTGGCACCATATCCCTGAAGCAGCCTGGCTCTCTTACCACCAAATTCCAGGTGGACATCCCTGGTCTGGGCTGCTGACCATGAAAATGTTGATGTCTGAAGACTGTCCAGAGCTGATCCCACCCCTCACTGGGCATGGAATTAAGTTGGCCCTGTGGTCATGAGAGTAGGAGAGCTGACCCCACCCTTAGCTTAACTGTGGGCCCTTGAACATTGTGGAAGTTTCAGGTGAGTTAGTCCCCAAGAATATGACAATGAGATTCTTTGTCCCTACCACACATCATTAGTGTGGTGCTGTGGAGAAACAGACAGATAAGAG